TTAAAGCTTACAATAAGTTAATGAAAAATGTAAAAACTTAGTTCTTCTGGTCAACATAATTTTTATGAGTATTTTAGCGCCTTTTTGGAATAAAAAACATCAAAAAAAATTGGAACATTTTAAACAAATTTTCTATTGATTTTTTTCTTGTATTTTTTGCAGCATTTGTCTTTTGATTTGCTTATTTTACTCTGACTGTCAACTATGCCTGATTCGTCTTTTTTAGCCTTTTTTGTCGCACCACGCCGAATGAAATGACAATAATTTGAAGAAAAAAATGTTTGTTGTGTTTTTAAGAATATGGTCAGAACATTCTCTGATTCTTGCGCAGTAACCGGCTATCCTTATTTTGTTTTGTTTTCGCTTAAAAACTATGTATGACCCTCAATAGATTCGACTGAATTTTAATCGGCCTAGTGGCTTTGTTTTGCTTCTTTTGAAGAATAAGTTTTGTGCTTATTATTAATATTTTTTGTGTGTAGTCTGAGGGTGGGGCTTAAAAATTAGAATTCGAATTTCAAAACTTTCAAACATTACGAGGTCAAACTGTGTATTTTGTGAATTACAAGTAGATTCAGCAACAGCACCGTTCTTTTTTATCTTACTTGTTCTTGTGTTTCTTTTGATCGTGCCTATAAAGATTTAAATTGTTCAAAAAAAGATTTCTGGATTCCAGTGACCAAGCCAACAACCTCTGCGCATAAACAGTGTTTAGTTTGGCCTCGTAAAGAAAAAGCTTTTCATGACAACATTTTTGCTTTCGACTAAACAGGAGTTTATCCAACTTTGTTTCGCCAATTTCAGAATTCGATTGAAAGTTTTATCCTGAAAAAATCTTGCGTTATAGTGAAGGTTAATGAGTAATAGGTAAATTGATATTCACTAATAAATATGTTAATGACAAAAACACACAAACGGTCGAGTCCAGATTAATTCAATTTTTAATAAATTAGTCCCTCCTCTGGTGAAAATTATAAGACGGTACTGATTTGGTCTATCCCACAAATGGGAAGAAAGAGAGCAAAATGTACGAACCCCATAGGATGTATAGTAGAGATGATAGTTAGTTAGTTAGTTACGCGAGTCCACTCTATGTCCAATCCAGAGCTCTTGGGCCCAACTGTTATTAAGCGTTTTGAATAGCTGCGCATGAGGGACAACGTTGAAGCGTGTTTCTATGTCGGCAGTGTTTGACGCCAGCTGCACCTCGCATGAAGCTCCTAGTTGGGTATGGAGGGCTCGTAGCCGGTAGACTTCGCCGTCCGAAGACGTTGATCCCCCACACCACGGAGAAGTGTCTACCATGTGGGGGTACTAGAGATGCTTCGACCCGGACATGCAAAAACCCGGATCCTTAAACCTCCCCTGTCCCAAGTATTAGCTTTTCACTGAAGTGCAATTAATTCTATTAGAAATTGGTAACGAGCGGCTGGAATGGTACCGAAACCTATTATGTGATAGACTTAGTTGAGGAAAACTTTAAATTGCAATCCCAGACCCATGATCCCTAATTCCGGTATTTTTCTCGGAGCAATTAGTCACTGACAAGAATTCTGGAAGTCGTTTCTTGAGCCCCACTGATCGCACGGAGCCAAAACTTTAAGATATGAAAAGTAGTGGCCAGTGACTTCATGTATTTTTTATGAGGTAAATCCGACTGCTGGACCGGAAGTTTTTAGCTTTTGGGAAAGAAACTCCTTAGACCGAAAGTAGGCAATTTATACAAAATAGTGACTTTTTAATGGTAAAATGTTTCTCTAGCATAAAAAGGGAATATTGTTTTTATTGCGACAAAAGACACAAATCCCGAAAAAGACCCCCTGTGAGTTAAATTCCTCCGGTGACTCCTTTTGGTGTTAGTAGCCTTTTCTTGGGAAAAGTGCTTCTGGACCTTACAAATGTGATATTGTGGTAAATTTGAAGTGGATATGAGTGAAACTTTGTAGGTAAGACCCCAATGGGATTCTGATCCCAGATTTAAAGACTGACGCCGGGTGATCCCAGAGTGACCTTTAATTGATCTTTGGGTGCTTAGGTCTAAAATTGCAAAGAAAGTGGCGCATTCCCCGGCGGCCCTAACTCAATGGAAACTCATATCGAATCGGTCACCTGACTTATAATTAGGAGGAAACCTTCTTTTTGGAAACTGAAGCAGGAGCTGAAAGGGATACAGCTTTTACATTGAAACATTGAACTAATGGAGCTTTTTAGAGTGGACTTGGCAAACACTGGGTTCATTTTAGCTTGGTGAAAGAACTATTAATTGATATTCAACTAGACTAAAGAAAAGTAGTCTCTGAGGGTACTAGCAGTAATAGAAGCGCTGGATAAAAAGTAGGTCTCCTAAAGTATATGAATGCGCGGGATGTTTATTAGCTTCCCGGAGGTGAATTTTTGCCACAATTTGACTCCTAATAGGCAAATTATGTTACCCTGATAGCTAGAAGGATGTGATTAGATTTGAATATAGATGGGAATTTTAGGTGCGTGATGTGAATAAGCTACCCATGGAAAGAGTTTTCGCCCACCGCCATGAAATCAAAAATTTACTGGAAAAATTAAATTAAGACCTTGGTTGACTGGTTAGTTAGCGATAACTTGGTTTAGAGAAGAAATTAGAATTGATATTTGCACAACCTAGGTGGAGATGTCTACAGTGAATTTGTCATTCGTAGCTGATATTTGCAAAACTTAGTTGGAGATGCCTACGGTGAATTTGGCAATCAAAACTACTGTCTTCAGGGGAAGTTTCTGCTTAAGACCTTGCGCAGGGGGTACCAGAGTGAAAGTCAGGTCAGGACTTGTAGGGTTGATCGTAACTGTAACTAAAATCAAAACTCAAATGGTCAAACATAGCGAAAAGGTTACGGTTAGCCAATCCTTAGGCAAAATAAAATTAGCTACTGGTGAGTGTAATCGGGTTCCTGTAGTTAGTTAGAGAACAGTTCGATGCTTGTGAGGGTAAGTATTCTCCCAAGTTAGTGTACGTACGTTAACTTAGTGGTTTTGCAAGAAAGAGAGATATTTGATATAGATATTGAGGATAGCCAAAGTTTAAAATTGTAAGTTAGCGTTAACGCGAAGTTTAATTGTATTCGAGCAACAGTTTTGATGAATTGCAAACCATTTGATTTTTTGATTAGATTATTAGAATATGTTCTGGCCAATTAGTTTTTTCTGTATTCCGAATTATAATTATCTGAATTTAATTACCATTGAAAAATCTTGCGAACGTGAGTGCGAGCGATACAGCCAGAAGAGCAGTACAAACTGGCAAGCGACATAATACCTTACAGAATAATTGCCACCAACTTAAGCATTTCTTGATTGTGCATAGTAGTCAATCTCGGTCGCCTCGCTGAATTCACTACCCAAAGTACCACTTTGGGGTGTCCTTAAGAGAGAGACAGAGAGAGATAGTTAGATAGAGAGATAGATAGAGAGAAAGAGAGAGAGAGAGAGAGAGAGAGAGAGAGTACGAACCTAGAGACACAATTCCCGGAAATCTAGAACACTTTATATCTAAGATATCATTTTTGGACTCCCATCTAGTTTTCCACCCCCTGGTTAAATCACAAAATAGAAAAGTTCAAAAGTTCTTCAAACAGCAATTTGCAGTTAAGAATTATTGTAAAAAAAAAGTTTTTCATTTGTTCACACTGATACGTTATGATGCAATAAATAACTTCAAAAGTATTTTAAATAGACTATCATTGACTCAACTTTAGATAAAAGTCAAAAAGGGGACTGGAAAAGAGCTAGAACATGCTCTTCTCAAACAGTGATATCACATAGTGTAAATAGTTTAGGTAGACTCTACATAATCTATCTTCATGTTTTTTCGGACAAGTTAATACTTTTAAAGAAATCCGCAAAAGAAGCTGAGGCAATAATGGGTGCGCGTAGAAGTATGGTCTCATTAAACACCTCGTTTAGAAGCATAGTACGGTTCGTTAAAAACCTCGTCTAGAAGTATGTAACCGTTCGTTAAAAACCTCGTTTAGATGTATGATCCCGTTAAAAAACTAGTTTAGAAGTATGATCCCGTTAAAATTCTCGTTTAGAAGTATGCTGCCGGTTGTTAAAAATCTCGCTTAGAAGTATGGTCCCGTTAAAAACTTCGTTTAGAAATACGCATCCTCCTAATTTTTAGTTTGCAACCTGAAAAAAAAACTTTAAAATAGACCTTCAATGAAAAAATACTCACTGTTTAATGCTATTGCATGTTGTGAGAAGCAGGTCTTCTGTGAGTAAAAATCATGTAACAAGTTTGTAACTGTTATGCAAACATGACCTCAAATCGGTTTTATCTGCTGTTCATACTGGAATCATTTTCGTTTTTTTCCCTGTGTTTTGGAGATAACTTTATTTGAGAGTTATACAAGTCACATGACCGAAAAAAAAACATATAATCTAAATAGAGAGAAGTTTGACCAAGTTAAAAAAAATATGCAACAGTCTCTTTCATATCTGAGATTTTTTCAACATGATTGGAGTCATAGTTTTTACTTCATTCAAATAATGGATGAATACATATATATTCGAACACTTTTCTCAAGGCTACAAAAATGAGCAAAACTGGAAGAGATATGAAAAACCTTGAGAAAGAAAATGGGACGGACAGAATATGAAAATGTTGCAAAAGAAGTGACAGGACATGCAAGGATCAATTTGGTCATCTCAGCTCAGGCAGTGTAAGTTTTTGTGTAGCCATATACTAGACAGCACACACTTGGATGAGTATTTTTGGTGTTTTACCAGAGATTGGTTCGGAGGCAGCAGTTTAGAGATTCGGGTAATAACTGCAAATTGGAGGAGAGTCAATAAAGTAACAATAGCCAAAGAGCCCATCAGTTGAACCTAACTGTACCATCTGCATGTCGAGATCTTCCTTTTCACCTGTTAGTCCCTACATCAAATTATTTCACTCACATGATAACATTCGCTTCCTTTTGATTTTCCAGTTCAAAAGGAAGTCAATGTTATCAATTATCAGCTGAATTTAATAAGTTGGTGTAGGGAAGAACTGGGAAAAAGGACGATATGGAATTTCAGGCAGTGATTCCTGATTCAGGGGAAGCAAAATGTATGAATATATGCTCAGGCAAAAAGAAAAGAACTTGGATTTCGAAGAATGGCAAAAACTAAGAAAAACAGAAAGACACGCGAAAATTAACTTCCAATTTGGTAGAGGATAGATAATCAAAACGATTGAAATTTATTATCCACCGGTTGGAAGCTCTCAAATAGTTGCATGGCACTTGAATCATTGTCATCCATCACGATGTTACTCTTTTATTTGGATTAAAACTTATTGAAAATTTGAAAAAAAAAATATTGTTACTCGAATTTTTTCTACGTACCCAGAAAAGAACTACAAAGTTCAACGACAAGTAAAAAGACACGAGTAGATCGTCTTAATTAAAATATCAAGGTGGTACAGGAAAAACGATTCAATTGAACAATCTTCAGGTCAACTAGAATTGTGAAAGTATATTGAGTTTTATCGTGAGAAAGCTAGGCATAAATTTAAAGTTTGAACAATTAAGTAAAACAGAAATAAGATAATTAGAATTTCTCAAAAATGTCAACCTTAAGCAATTATATACATATATATATATATATATAAATATATATACATTTATATATATATATTTATATAATTGGTTAAAGTTGACATTTTTGAGAAGTTCTGATTGTCAAGAGTTTTTTTATTTCGTAGAAATTTTGAAAAAAAAACCATTTTCCGACAAAATAAAAATAAGTATAGTCATACCTATTTTCAAATGCCGCAAGAAATCAAAACTCGGAACAGATATCCCAACAATAACTTTGGTATCAATTAGAGGTAAGATATTCGTAGAGATTATATGCGTTCGGAATATTTCTTTTCTACAAGAAAACCATTTTTCAACAATAAAACAGTTCGGCTGACAAAGCAATAACGTCTACATTTGATGCAATATTAAAAATGGTTGAAATTATTAATGACTGTTTACGCAAAAAAGTTCCAGTGACATGCTGTTTTATTGAACTATCGAAAGAATTTGAAACAGTCGATCACCCAATTATTTTTTGCTACAGTTGTACCAATTAACACACAATCTGTACAAAATGATAACAAAAAGAGCGATTTAATAACGAAATATTGTTGTGTTCTACAAGTTTCAGTTTTGGGTCCTATTTTGTTTCAAATTCAAGTTAATGATCTGCCGAATACTTGCAACAGTATCTTTGCTGATGATACCGATATCTACAAATGCAAATCTGAATAAATTAACTACTTGACTTTCATAAAATCTGACCCTTGTCAAATTGAAATCAAATTTAGATACATTTGAACAAGTGAATAGAAATCAATTTTCGCGAAACTCTTTTTAATTTTTTAGTATTGCAACTGGGTACTACAATTACTTTGTCCACAGGACTCATCTGGACTCCTGGTGGTATCTCGGATCACAATGAACTCATACCGTAATGACCTGGATGAGTATTTTTGGTGTTTTACCAGAGATTGGTTCAGAGGCAGCAGTTTAGATATTCAGGTAATAACTGCAAACTGAAGGAGAGTCAATAAAGTAACAATAGCCAAAGAGCCCATCAGTTGAACCAAATTGTACCATCTGCATGTCCAGATCTTCCTTTTCACCAATTCCTCCCTACACCAAATTATTTCACTCACATGATAACATTCGCTTCCTTTTGATTTTCCAGTTCAAAAGGAAGCCAATGTTATCAATTATCAGCTGAATGAAATAAGTTGAAGTAGGGAAGAACTGGGAAAAAGGAAGATATGGAATTTCAGGCGGTGATTTTAGATTCAGGGGAAGCAAAATGAATGAATATATACTCAGGCAAAAAGAAAAGAACTTGGATTTCGAAGAATGGCAAAAACTATGAAAAACAGAAAGACACGCGAAAATTAACTTCTAATTTGGTAGAGGATAGATAATCAAAACGATTGAAATTTAATATCCATCGGTTGGAAGCTCACAAATAGTTGCATGGCACTTGAATCATTGTCATCCATCACGATGTTCCTCTATTATTTGGATTAAAACTTATTGAAAATTTGAAAAAAAATCTAGACTACTCGAATTTTTTCTACGTACCCAGAAAAGAACTACAAAGTTCAACGACAAGTAAAAAGACACGAGTAGATCGTCTTAATTAAAATATCAAGATGGTACAGGAAAAACGATTCAAATGAACAATCTTCAGGTCAACTAGAATTGTGAAAGTATATTGAGTTTTATCGTGAGAAAGCTAGGCATAAACTTAAAGTTTGAACAAGCAAGTAAAACAGAAATAAGATAATTAGAATTTCTCAAAAATGTCAACCTTAAGCAATTATATACATATATATATATATATATATATATATATATATATATATATATATATATAAATATATATATATAAATTTATATATATAAATATATATACATTTATATATATATTTATATAATTGGTTAAAGTTGACATTTTTGAGAAGTTCTGATTGTCAAGAGTTTTTTTATTTCGTAGAAATTTTGAAAAAAAACCATTTTCCGACAAAATAAAAATTATTATAGTCATACCTACTTTCAAATGCCGCAAGAAATCAAAACTCGGAACAGATATCCCAACAATAACTTTGGTATCAATTAGAGGTAAGATGTTCGTAGAGATTATATGCGTTCAGAAAAATTCTTTTCTACGAGAAAACCATTTTTCAACAATAAAGCAGTTCGGCTGACAAAACAATAACGTCTACATTTGATGCAATATTAAAAATGGTTGTAATTATTAATGACTGTTTACGCAAAAAAGTTCCAGTGACATGCTGTTTTATTGAACTATCGAAAGAATTTGAAACAGTCGATC